CCCCCCCCCCCTTTTCCCTTTTATCACCAGAAATGATGAAAAAAGGAGTTTGAGTCAATGGTGTGTGTCGATGAGGGGGAAAAGGGGGTGGGTGCGTGCGTGTATGTTGAAAACAATGTTGTCAATAGGAAATATATTATATAAGAAATAACATGCTGCTGTATGCAATAAACACAAACACTGTTCTAATGCAAACTGCTTTAATGTTGTTGTTTTTGTTTTTGTTTTTTAGGGGGGGGGGGATTCTTTTGTCCCTTGCCCATTTCTATGAGATTGACGCCATCTGATTTGTAGTGATCATAGTGTCCAATAGTTTATTTCGTACATAATTTTTATAACGTGTAAATGTCACATACATAGATTCAAGTAGTGTAAGTAAAGAGAAGCACATCCACTAAATAACAGCCATACTATGCAGGGGAAAAGCAAATCTGATAGACAGAATCAAAACAAGGCAAAAAGAAAGTAAGACCTTCTGGCGGCGTCCTCCTACCACCTACGCCAATTTTTTGATCAGCGAAGGTATTACGCAAACATGTCAAATGCATCACATTAAATCATATTGTTATTATGATCCGTCATAAACATTAAAAACATCATAATATACATACGGTTCATAATACTCACAGGATGAGAATCTTGTCAAATGACGTAAAAAAGACAGCAACAAAAAATCATCAAACAACAAATAGCCAAAAATAAGAGGAAAAACTCAGCGTCGAATACATACTCACTCCTTGTCGCTGGTCCGTGTGGCACAGCAAAGCACAGCGCACGTGCCATTGATCGTGGCGTCGAGGCAACACGTCGTCCTAGCAGGGAGACCACGGACTCTCAGGTCTGGTATCCGCCTGGCCCCGCGCGCAAGCCGCGCTCTGACACTGGATGGAACTGGAATTTCACGTCTCCCGACTGGAGACAAATACTCAACAAAGCCACCGTGCCCAACTGTTTACTGACCTTTGTTGTAGTAGTAGTAAGGAGAATTATTGGTCGCTTTTAAGCACAAGCGGGCTATCCCGGAAAATGCTGTTTTGAGATAATCGAAGGCAAAGTTTTACTTTTAGCCTCTTGTTCAGTAACTTTAAGTGACACGGAGATTTTCTCCAAAACCGAAAAAATTGACACACCAATGAAACCAAAATTCTCGCATAGGTAGGGCAATGCCCACTTTTGGTGCAGGTCAAGATAAATTTCTGGAACCCCCCGAAATCTGGGTTAGCCGTCTTTAAAAGCGACCAATTTAGAGGAGTCTAACGATCGAAGAGTAGAAACTCACGAAGGAAAGAGAATTTTAAAAAAAATTCTCTCGTTCTGCTTTTTCTCAGTATCCCACCAATCCACCCCATCCCCCCCTCCCCGCCCCCCCCCTTCTTTCTCCCTTTCTCTCTCTCCCTCTTATTTTCACCCCCTCTTTCCTTCTCCCCCCCCCACCCCCTCTCCATTTGATTCTCCCCCTCCCTCTGTCACTTTCTCTCCATCTCTGACTCTCTCCCTCTGTCTGTTTATATGTTTGCTTTCTGTCTGTCTTTCTGTCTGTTGTTCTGTCTGTCCTTCTGTCTATCTTTCTGTCTGTCTGTCTGCCTCCTGCCTCCTCGGTGTCTCTCCCCCCCCCCCCCCCCCCTTTCTCTTTCTCTCGCTTTTTCTCTTTCTTCTGCCCCCTTTTAAAATTGTCTTAGTCACGCCACCATTCATTATCTCTCTCATCAAATTATCACATTTTGTTCGCGCTCAGACACACAGCTACTTCACATGATTCAGTCTTCTTTTTTTGTTGTGCATGGGACTGAAATGAAATATCAGACTTCTTTTTGCGTTTCTGTTGCATTTGAGAAACGATCGTTTGAATAATACCCAAAAAAACCTTGATTCAGTTGTTTTAATATTGGGAAAGTCTTAGTAATTCATTGTATTTGTTGTACGATGCTGAAAAAGATGAAGTCTGATTACCCTGACTAAATGTGTAAATGCTGATTCATTTATGTTAGAGCAGACAGAAAAGAAGTATTTTGAAATGGAAGTCCTCCTTTATCATCATAGCAATACATGTAAAAATATAATTAATAGTAATGATAATGACAAATTTATTATGACTATGACTTTAATAATAATAATGATGATGATCCCCCTGGGTGAAGTGAGGAAAACGTGTGTATAATATAATATAATATATACACAGGGTTCGAAGTTAAGAGCTTTCGGCACCGAGCCCTACAGCTTAACCACTAGATTATTATCACAATTTGATGAACATCTGAAATAAAAATCAACGTTACATTTTTCTCTGATCCGTAAATACAAGTTAATAAAGTGTAATGATTCATAGGATGTACTCATGTGGCGTCGGTGGCCTAGTGGTTAGGCTCTCGGACTCGCAACCGTAAGGTCGTGGGTTCGAATCCCGTCAGGGACCCGACGTTGTGTCCTTGGGAAAGGCACTTTACACGAATTTTCCTCACTTCACCCAGGTGGGAATGGGTACTTGGCTATAGACAGCGAAAGATCTTGTCAGTTTGTTAGTGTTTGAGCGCTTAATCAGCTGCTTGCACTGTATGCTACCCGGGAAGCTGAGAATGTTTCGGAGTGTTCTATGGTCTGCTGGGGTAATAACATAGTGTAAAGCGCATAGAGCCTGCTGTTGAGCGGAGATATGCGCTATACAAATGCTATCTATTATTATTATTATTACTTTATATAATTCAATATACCCCCGCCCCCTCCAAACGCCCATTGTATTTAGTATTTGATTATTAACTTTGGTTTGAATTAGTGAAGACACATCTGTATTTATTCCGAACGTGCAGTATATGGCTGTCACAACAGAAACACACATGATTTTACACTGTTTTGCTGATCGTGGAAGTGCGTTTTTTCTGTTCTGTGGTCAGGGTTTATTTGGATAAACCAGGATCCCACCATTCCAGAATAGTATAATTTTATATCAACACTCGCTGCCGCTTGACACATTTTATGACCCAACCGACCTCTTGGTCTATAAAAAAGTAGGTCCAATAGGAAGGACGGGGTTACGGTGAATGGAGATTAATATAATTTCGTCTAAATTGGATCATTTCGAAATAAACCAACTTACATTCTGTCCAAGTGTCGGTATAATATTATCGTTCAGATAATTATTGTTAACCAGCCTTTTTATCTGCTTTTGAAGAGGTGACAGCATAATCTAGAGTAATGCAGGTGGGCGGATTTTTCTCTCCCTCTTGCAAGGTTTCCGATTGCATTCTATTTCTGAGTCAAGCAATATAAAACATCGTCTTTTGCCAATTTGATGATGTGGGTGGAATAAAAGAACCTTTCGTCGATCCTCCAAACACAAGTACAAAGGGTAGGGATTAAGGATACACGGTGTATGTGTGAATGGATGAATCTCGCAACGCCCCACTATGCAATAGATATGCTTGTTTTGTGTGTGGTAGCGTCGTAGGACACGCACTGACGCGGATTTATAAGAAGTGCGAGAGTAAATCAAGTTTCAACTTTCCTGTTAACGACACAGCTATCAAAAGAAGTAATAACATCATTCTTTTCTTTTCTTTTTCTATATAACTCTAATGCTTGCATTCAGAAGCCAGATAATTAATATTCGTCTTCGCACTGTTTGTCATCCATCCTATTGTCGTTTTTTTCCAGATCTCTTTTCAGTAAGTCGTACGGTGGGCACTAATAACGTGCGCCTGTAACATGTGTTGCCGACTCCATCTTGTATATATATATGCCAAAAACAACTTGCTTCTCATCCTCATTCATTGCGATTCCTCAGCTGGATAGAAGGTAAAACCGGAAACCGTTTCGACTGCTTTAGCCTTTAAAAAAATATGATATTTCATTTTTTGGGGGGGTAGGATATTCGCCGATATAGTATGAGTAATATAGCCTACCCGCTGGTCAAACTCACCAAGTTCATGATAAACATTTGTAGAATGTGACTTTGCCTAGTCAGTGTTTTCCTTTTCATATTTTAAAATAAGTTTCTAGTCATTTAGGGCTATCTGCTGGAAACACTAGAGCTAACAACGCTTGTCAGTTAAATAAATGTCCACGGTGATCATCGTGACGGAGAGTGATATTGACAAGCTGTCATTGAGTGAAGGTTTGCTAAGAAGGCAAAACCTCTTGATTTCTACTTTGATTTGTTTGTGCTTAGCTTTTCTTTTTTGGAAAGAAAAAAAGGATAGGTGGAAAAAAAAAGGGGGGGGGGACATAAGAAATATATTATTATTATCTGGCTTTAATTAAAACAATCTGTTTACATTTGAAGACTTTCTTTTGATCTTTCGAGGTCCCCATGCCGCCGAAATTAGACGGTTATGCACAATTAGAAAGCTTCGGTAGGTAGGATTTCAGTATGTAAGAAATGGAGCATGCACTGCATCGATGGCATAGAGCGTAAATTCATATTTAATCATGTCAGACTATCTATTTTGAGTTTACAGACAGTTTTCTGATATCAATCTATTATTATCATTATTATTATTATTTGACAGAAAAGGAAATCAGAAACATGATGGGTCTTTCTCGAGCAATTCTTGCACTGTTGGTATTGACGTGCGCCGTGCATGGAGGGATCGTAAAGCGGGTGAGTACATTAACCTTGATATACTCATCTTTTAAATGAAATGTTTGTGTGTGTTCTTGTCAAGGCTCTTTTGGGGAAAAAACATCCTTAATAATAATAAATAATAAATAGCATTTGTATAGCGCATGTCCCCACTCGAAAGCAAGCTCTATGCGCTTTACACTATATTATTACCCCAGCAGACCATAGAACACTCAGAAACATTCTCAGCTTCCCGGGAAGCATGCAGTGCAAGCAGCTGGTTAAGCGCTCAAACACTAACAAACTGACAAGATCTTTCACTGTCTATAGCTGGGTACTCATTCCCACCTGGGTGAAGTGGGGAAAATTCGTGTAAAGTGCCTTTCCAAAGGACACAACGTCGGGCCCGCGGCTCGAACCCCCGAACCCGCAACCTCACGATTACGAGTTCAGTAGCCTAACTACTAGGCCACCGACGCCACCAACATAATCTATCTTCGTTCAGAAGATTAGCCAACTATGCAGAAAAAACGGTCAACACAGTTATTACAGTTAACTTTTGCAGATTTCAACCCTATTTACCAAGCATCTTACCGGCTGTTTTAACTGATATGCAGAAGCCAAACCCTCACTTATAGATGCTATAGTATATCCACTAGTCGGTAGATGACAATATCGTGCTCCCCAAAGACCTTCAGCTATTGCACGCAGTAATGAGCCTAGACAGCATCTCAGTATGTGTCTGTGGGGTATTGGCTGCTTGTTCTGAATGCTTCCAGGGAAGCCAAAATCTGTTCCCAAGTGATCTTGGTTGTGCTGGGGAAATGGAACATTATGTAGTAGTTGTAAAGCGCATACGCATTCTGTAGAGCATGATTGGGCGTTATTTTGATGAAATTACTAGTATTATTGTTATTGTAGTTGGTGTTATTGTAGTTGCTGGTATTGCTGTTGTCATAGTTGTTGTTGTTGTTGGTGGTGGTGGTGTTGTTGTTGTTACTTTTACTATTATTATTATTATTGCTGTTGTTGTTATTATTGTTGTTATTATTATTATTA